GTAACATGTTTGGCAATTAGAAACCACATAAAAAGACAATTGTGCAAAATATTTACATGAGAATACTATATTTTCCACATTGAATCACTAAACAAGTGGAAATTAGTAATTTTCACAAACTTGATTTTAATAATTAACCTAATATACTTCTTACTCATGTGTTTTTCCCTCTCCTTTTTATCCTCTTACCACTCTTTTAAACCCCTTGCTAATTTTATTTGTACACTCTTTCTGTTTCTCATTTTACACGCTTTTTATTCCCAACTTTTATTCAATTTATTTTGCTATGCTCTTTTTTCCTTTTCGGACGTTCCTTGTGATGATTCATGTTAGCTAATCCCTAATCATTTTGGGACTACTGCTTTGTTGTTGTTGTTGTTGTACCTCAGTAAAATAGTTCCAAAGCATAATATTACTTCTCAGCAATTGCCAAAAGCACAGGTTAATAAGATCTTTTGGCCAGTAGTCTATTACATATTAATTTTGTGCAGGGTATATCATACAGAAACTAAATTATCAGAATACCCTACAATAGAAGGGTCACTTCCTTTTCTACATGTGTCAAACAAGGGAATTAGGTATGATTTTCATGAAGCCCTCTAATTATTCATTTCTGATCAACACATAATTAATACCCAACTAAAATTATATTAGATCATTAGTTCTTACTGATCAGGTAACAACAGTTATAGTAGGATCCTAAGAAACTCTAAACTTGAATCATTGACATCCAAGAATCAATGGTAACAAACATGAATGAAATTTCCGAAGTATGATTTCACAGCATATACTACTCATATAAAACAAGCGATTGAACCTTAATAGGCATGACCACCATACTGAATACTAGTAGCTATGCTCATTTGAACAATAAAAGGACTCCATGTTTCTTAACAAGCACCAATGGACGGTTCAAAAACATCCATTTCCATAATTTCTACTATTGACCCATTCCAACATTCCCTCTTCCAACCTCAAGACTTCCAAACAGCTCTAAACCATACGAACATGATACCGCCACCTAGCCAGCAAGTGACTAGCAAGAGCTCCAAATCTCCCTCTACAAAGACAGCTGCTCGAGCTATGTCCAGTTACAGCCCGGATTACTCTTATTCAACTTTACGACCCGCCCGCACTATTATCCAAAAATATATCATTGAAACCGGGAACTGAACTAGCTCAAATTCATTCTAAGTTCCCAAACAATCTAATGATTGAATTTCATCACTTAACTCTATAGACTATAGATCATGTAGTTCAGATGCAAAAATCATAAAACTGATTAACAAACTCAGTCATAGCTAATTCCTGATACCTTGCATGTAAATCAAATCTCAACAACTTCCTCAAAATCATCAATTGCTTGATTTCAACTATCAATCACTCAAACAAAAAACACCAAAAAAAAAAAAGGGGAAAACAACCCTAAATAATAACAAATCAAAAACCCTAATTCAACAAAGAAAAAAACAGTAAAATCAAGCGAAATTAAAAGAATTATAAAAACAAACCTTAACCTTGCGGCCATTTTTGGACTTGACAACGACCTTCCAACCAGGAGGAGGCCAGTCGGATTTGTTCTTCGACACCATTGAAAGATCTTCGAGCTGCTTTCTCTCTCTTACTGTAATTGATTTTTGGTTTTTTTTTCCTGGGTTTGTGAGACTGTTTGAGTAGGAGGAGAGAGAAAAACAAAATAAAATTAAAACAGGGGAAATTTGGGAAATTACAGTATATCGGAAAGATCGGAGTGTGTAAAAATAAGATATACGGAGTACAATTGTACAAAGTATGGAGTATTGGATAAAGTGGAGGAGGTCAATAAAAGACAGCAAAATTGTCCACGTGTACTTGGGATTTACATGCACTTTTTCGAGCATCAACTTTGCCTACCTTAGTGTACTTGTTTCTTCTTTGCTTTGCGGATCTATGCATAGATTTGGCAAGTTTGAATTGCCATTTCTAGCTTTCTTTCTACTTCCTCTATAGTCTAGAGTTGGCATGAGTTGGGTCGTTTAGAGCTATGTACTTTTATTGGTTGTGTTTGAAACTCGAGTTAAGCAGAATTTGTGTTGTAACATGTTAAAGTCGTACTAATATTCACAAATAGGGTTCAATTTAGGCTTATTTATCATGTTATGTCGTGTAGTGTCATGCTAGCGACCCCCTTTTGCTAAATGAGTAGGACGACTTCTTGTGCTTGTGTGAAATATTGAAAATAATGTTCATGATGGCATTACATGAAAAACAATTCGATTTGGCACGAACATGCTACAAGGACGACATGTCATTAGTAGCGCAGCAATGGGACATGAGTTGTCCCACAAGTCAGCACATTTATATCTAATCAACCTATACGGAGTAAAAATTTTAAAAGAGAATCCGTAAGTACAACACGATTTAGCATTTCGGTTGGATCCCGCATAAAGGCTCCATTTACAAAAGATCGACCTAATTGGCTGAGTCTAGCATATGACAACTTTTAAAACACGATTGGCATGAGCATACTATATCGTCCTACATCACCAATCCTATGACCAACTCTATTAGTCCTTTTACTAGTCTTTAATCTTATTAACCAATTCGTCAAAATATTTGAACGAGTTAAGTCTAGATCTACATTACAAAACCGGTTTTGGTCCTACATTTTTAATCAAATCCAACCTAAATCCGATTCATGGGCATCCTACTCCCAAACGTACGAAGTATGAGTTTTTTGCCCCTGTATATTAAAAAGATGGCTAAAATTAGCACTGTCAAAACGGTTTGACAGTTCGGTTTGAAATCGGTTCGGTTTGAAATCGGGTCGGTTTGAAATCGGTTCAAATGTCTTACGGGTCGGTTTCGGTTCGGTTTAAATAATTATCGGTTCGGTTCGGTTTCGGTTTATTCTTGAACGGTTTAAATTCGGTTCGGGATATAAACGGTTCGGTTAGTAAACGATTCGGTGCAAACGGGTTGCGGTTTGTTAACGGTTCGGTGTAAACGCTTTTTAACCCGGTTTAAATTCGGTTCGGGTTGTAAACGTCCGGGTTGTAAACGGTCCGGGTAGTAAACGGTTCGGTGAAAACGGGTTGCGGTTTGTTAACGGTTCGGTGTAAACGGTTTTTAACCCGGTTTAAATTTGGTTCGGGTTGTAAACGGTTCGGTGCAGACGGGTTGCGGTTTGTTAACGGTTCGGTGTAAATGGTTTTTAACCCGGTTTAAATTCGGTTCGGTTTGTAAACGGTGCGGGTTGTAAAAATTCCAGGTAGTAAACGGTTCGGTGCAGACGGGTTGCGGTTTGTTAACGGTTCGGTGTAAATGGTTATTATCCCGGTTCAAACAGTTTCAGGTTGGAAACGGTTCGGTTGTTTTTTGGTTTAGTTTTATTTTAGTTCGGTTATAACTGGTTCGGTTCGTTCACGGGTTTGGTTCTTCTACGATTTAACATTATTTAGATCGGTTTTATTTCAGATTTACTAAATTACGGTTCGAGTCTGTTTTTGATTTCAAAAAATTTTGTACTACTTTCTAACTTTTTGCTAGTTAACAAGTTTTATATCAAGCCGAGACTTCATCACTTCATATTGAGGCATCATATTATATGCAAATTCTCATTAATTTTATAAATACATATCATGTTATGATTTAAGTTTAGCTATACTGATCTTACTAGTTTATTATGAAGTAGATTATAAAAGTTTAGTGCATTAATGTATTATTGTTTTACTATCAGATTATTATCTGCTTCTGATTTGATCATTTAGTTAATAGTGTCATAATCATGATTTGATGAGTTGTTGTGACATCGAAATTTGCAATTTGGTATTCGATACTTAATTAGTCAACAAGACTGATAATTAAGACTCGTTTATCATTATATATTTGCATAAAGTTATACATGAAGATATTACAGAGTAGTTTGATTTGTATAATGAAAGAAAACATTAATGAAGAAGAAGGTAATGTTGATTCCTTCAATCGATTATACAGATACATAACATATAACCATCTCATATTCTCATAGTTAGATATTATTAGTATAAAGGGATGAGAAACATAAGATTATTATATTTTTGTATATCCTTTACTGGTTTACCCTTAAGGCTTAAGTCACTAATTAGTAATTACTTAATTAGACTAACAAGTTAATCAGAAAGAGTAACTTTTAACTTGAGTCTAGTAGATCAAATACTGAAATGGTATTAGTATATTACCGAGTATGATAGTCTAGTACGCTGTTAATCTGTTATGCAGCTATGCTAAATTGACAATTGCTCATATAGTCATATTAGTCAATCACTCATGTAGACATAACTCATATCTAATTAAGTAATTTGTATTTATGTACTAATCTACTAGTCAACTATATCATTTATAAGTTTACACGATTACAAGTGTATTGCTTATAGGTACAGCTAAACTGATATAAATATAACCATATAACAAATCCGTAGTACTTCTAACTCTCTAAGATATGACATCATTATTTATTGAACAATTTTCGATTTTTTATTAATCGCAACGCCTAGAAATTACACGCTAACCGATTCACATTTTATAATTTAAAGAACTTAATATTTTAATGTGTTTGTTAAAAAAAATTATAAAAGCTGATATTATGAAGGTGAATATCGTTTTATCGGGATCCGAGAAATGTAATTAGTTTTTTTTTAAGTCATGTAATTAATTAATTGTATAAAAGTTTGTTTAATGTTATTAAAATAAAATTAAAAATTTTGATTTTTACAAAGTGGAAAATTAATTTCATTTTTTTGGTTGACAATTTCAACAAAATATGGTGGGAAATTTCCCTCCAAAAACCAAAAGGAAAAACACATTTTAGATTTAGAATTTAGATATTTTGATTCTTTAATAATTAAATAAACATGTGGTTCATATATTATGCAAAAGAGAAAAAAAAAAAAAAAAGTTAAACGTGAAACTGTGAAAGACTGAAAGGCAATTAGGTTCTTCATTCATCCTCTTCATTCATCCTCTTCATTCCACAACATTCACCGTTCTTCTTCTTCATCCTCAAATCGAAGCGTTGAATCCTCACTCACTCTCAAGTTCTCAACTCTCAAGCTCTGAACTCTTAGCCTTCAATAGCTCAAAGGTAAATTTTAGTTAATTGTTTTTGTTTTCGTTTCGTTTTTTTCGATTTTTTTTCCGATCTCTCCATTCTCGTTTTTTTTTTCATTCTCTAGTTCTCCATCTTCAAATCTTCCTCTCCTTCAAGCCGTCACTGCTCAAAGGTAATTTTATGTTAATTTTTTTGTTTTCATTTCGGTTTTATGTTGCTGATTCGTTGTTTGCAGGATTTGCATGTCTTTATTTTTTGATTTTTACTTCTGATTTGTTCGTATAATTTCATATAATTTCTGATTTGTTCATATAATTTCTGATTTTTTGATGTTGTTCATGTAATTTTTAATTTTATTGTTCTTGTTGTTCATTTAATTTCTGATTTTTTAATTTTATTGTTCTTGTTGTTCATTTTTTGTTATATCTATTTGTGAGGTGTTCTGGCCTTACCAGCTTTGGCTATGCTCAGTTCTGATCAGGGTTGTGGTTGTAGTACCATGAGCAACAATTGAGTTGATTTGGTTACCTTATTCATGCTCGTGGTTTCTTTTCGTGTTATTAATTGTGCTTGGTTTTTTTCAGGCTGCTGTGTTGTTGCTGGTCTGCCTTTGTGACTGTTTGCTGTTTGTTGAGCATTTAAAATGTATGGCTTTGTCTATAATGCTCTATTAGTCTTCAAATATACTGAATGCTATCCTTTGTTCTATCAGCTGCATTGTTCTCTCATTAGTGTTTCTGTTTATGTGGGTTAATGCTGAATGCTAGCAGGATTTTTTGATTTAAGTTTGGGTTTTGTTTTGTTGAAAAAGTGCAAGTGCATTCAGATAGGAGTTGTCTAATAGTGTTTAGTATATTTTAGGACTGAATTGTAGATGGACTACCTCAGCTTAGAGCATGTAGTACTAGCTAGGGTCTGTCCTGTGCTGCTGCTGTTCTAATGTCTGGCCAGATCTGCTAGATGTACAAGGCTAGATTGTAGGATCTGCTGGGTGTTTTCTGCCCTGTTCAGAGCAGAGTCTTTCTGGCCATGGTTTGTGCTGTCCTAGTTGATGTCTCTGCTGCAGGCTGGGTGCTGGGGTTGGTTGCTGCTGGTTTTCTAGGGTATTGCAGCTAGGGGTGTACAAAAACTGGACCGGACCTGAAACCGGACCTGAACCGACCTGATCCGGACCGGACCTGACCCGGACCTGTTGATTCAGGTCCGGTCCCGGTCCTTAAAAATCAAGGTTCCCGGTTCCGGTCCGGCCCGGTCTAAACCCGGGGTTTTCAGGTCCGGACCTGAAACCCGGAAAAATTGTTTTTTTTTTTTAAAAAAAAAAAAAAAAAAAAAATTAAAATAATGCTGCTGCTTGACAGCTTGAGGCCTTGAGTGACGCTTGAATTCTCTTTCATTTAATTCTAACCCTAACAAACAGGCTGTCTCCCCCTCTCCCTCACGCAGACACGCAGTCACGCAAGTCTCAGCCGAGTCAGCCCAACGCGGCAACGCCCACCGCCGACACCTCCTGCCTTCCTCACTCTCTCAGGCGAAGCCCAGGCGCCCACCGACCACCGCATGAGACAGCTACTGCGCGATTTTCCATTTCTCCGGTAAGTTATTTTTTTTTTTTAATGTAAATCTAAATTATCTAATTATGTTTGGGTATTTTGTATTCGAAATAATGAATTAAGTGTTAGAATTTATATGTTTATTCATGTTTCAATTGCTTATAATGATTATTTGATGTTTGCATGTTGAATTTCTTTTTTTTACTTCAATGTTTTCGAATTTATGTTTTTTCTTTTTTGGTTTATTTTCGAATTTCTTTCGAATTTATGTTTTTTTTTTTGGTTTTTTTTAGTTTAAAGTTTAGGGTTTTAGGGTTTAATGTTTAGAATTGATAACAAGTATGGTTTATCTTCGAATTTATTTATTTTTATGTTTTGGTAATGGGATTGTAGCAGAGGACAATTAGTTTTTCATCATGATTGCATTGTTTATTTTTGTCAAGTACCTGAATTTCTTAGACTCCTTTTGGTTGGACTTTGAAATTAGAGAAAATGCAATTATTTTGATTTCAAAATTAGAAATTGAGAGAAAGGTAGAAATTAGCTTGGTTGATATATGATAAGTTGGAATGTGCCTCTGAAATTGACATAAACTTCAGCAAGTAACGTGTAACACAAAAGAGAAAAATAAAAAGGAAGAGAACAAACAATGAGATTATGAGAGCAATGAAATTTTCTGACTGGAACTGCTGGATAGAGTCTGAGAGTTTCTGTCAATGCAGCATGTAAATACTGCATTCTTTCAAGTGATTCTTCTGTCAAACTAGCAGCAAGTTCTGAAAATTTTCCAACTCCTTCCATTTTCGTAATTTTCCTTACTTCTTCAGCAACCTTTTCCTGTATATTCTGGTGTTTACAAAGCATGTAAACAAACCATGAAAGTGTAACTGCTGTTGTGTCTTTACCCGCAATTACAAAGCTCAAGATTATATCTCTCAGATACTTCAAATCAGTGTCGCTCTGCTCCAGGAACCTTGACAAGATATCATCCTTTTTCATCTGCATTTCCTACAAATTCACACAGAAAGAATGCATTAATCTCCTCAGTAAACCGATATGATTACAGACTTCTAAGTTATGATTCACTTACTGAGACATTGCTTTGTGAACTTTTCATTAGTTCCACTTTGTTACTGATTAATTTGTAAACAAAATCATCAACAGTTTTGACACTTCTCTTAAGTTTAGCCTCTGCGCCAATGTTGAGAAATTTCTTGATAGGCCAAAAGATGTCTACATATCGTAACATGGTTGAAGCACTAGCATCATCAAAAGCCTGGCCAAATTTCTTCCCTTCTTCATTTGAGCCACACATACTGTCTAGATCAACTCCAAATGCAACTTTGAAAATAGAATCTAACGTTGACTTCATAAACAAGTCCTATAGAAAGCCATTTCAAGTTAGTTCGTTACTCCAAAGTCTCCAAAAGTACATAGCTCATCTTATCAGTAAAACACTTTTGTCCAATACAACCAGTAAAACACCATCTTACCTGAATATCCATAATTTGGGTGGAGTGTCACGGAAGGCGGCTAGGGGTGGGGCTGCCAATGAAGCTGGTTGTGTACTTGTGTTGTGTTGTGTGGGCAGTGGTGGATCTGGGTATTGACATAAATTTCAGAAAGTTGGTTGTGTTGTGTTGTGTTGTGTTGTGTGGGCAATGCCTCTCTCATTTTTTTCTTAACATAAATTTCAGAAAGTTGAAAGTATTTCTAATGTGTATTGATATTTCTAATGTGTATATATGGACACTTTTTAAGCTAACTTATACTTTAAAATTTGTGTTTATTCCTGCTAGGCTGCTAAAAGTATGGACTCAGATTATTAAGATTAAATAAGTTGGCTAACCTGTGTGTAGTTCAGGGGTTCTTATTTTTGTTTTTATTCTTGCAGGGAGTGAAGGAAGTCAAGGAACCACGGATTCTTATTCTTGCAATGTAAGTTGCTCTTAAATTTTTTTTATAAAATGGTATGTGTATATAATTGTTACTTTAAAATTACTTATATTGTATATAATTATATTGTAGATGGAGAGCTCTCAATCCAAACGGTCTGCTTCTTTTTCTGAACAAACGTCACAGCCACTTTCTGAAAAGGATATGGAAGAATTGCAATCTACTTTGCCTCCTGATAAGAAGCTAAAAGCGGGGCGGGAATATATATGGAACAGAAAAAGTAAGAGGAAAGCTGAGTATTGGAAATATTACTTAGAGTACGTCGAGAATGGAAAACTACGAGCTGAATGTAAGTTCTGTCCTAAAACTTTTGCTGCTGATGGTAATCTTAATGGTTCAAAAAATGTTAAAAACCATGCAGAATCATGTCTCGGTAATCCTATTAATATAGAAAAAGAAAAGGGCAAAGAAAAGCAAACTAAATTGTATTTTGATCAAGAACATGAGAGTAGTGAATTAAAGTGTGGGAGTAGGATTATTAACTTGAATGATGTTAGAGAGGCATTGATTCACATGATTATTGTTGATGAGTTACCATTTAAGCATGTGGAAAAATCCGGTTTTAGGCACTTTGTGCAAGTTGCATGTCCACAATTTCACATTCCATCTCGTGTTACCATTGCTCGTGATTGTTTAAAGTTGTATTATAGTGAAAAAGAGAAATTGAGAGAAATGTTTAAGACATGTCAAAGAATTTCTGTGACCACTGATACTTGGACTTCAATACAAAGAATTAATTATATGTGTCTTACAGCTCATTTCATTGATAATGACTGGAAATTGAATAAAAAGATCATAAATTTTTGTCCAATTTCTAGTCATAAAGGAGAGGCTATTGGAAAAGCAGTTGAGGCATGTTTAGAGTATTGGGGTATTGATGATAAACTTTTTACTGTCACTGTTGATAATGCTTCTTCAAATGATGTTGCTTGTGCACACTTGAGTAGAATGGTTAGAAGAACAGGATGTATAAATGATGGAAAAAATCTCCATGTTAGATGCATTGCTCATATCATTAATTTAATTGTGTGGGATGGTATTAGAGAACATGGTGTGTGCATTGATAGAGTTAGAAATGCTGTGAAATATGTTAAGAATTCCCCTGCAAGAATACTTAGATTCAAAGATCTTGTGCAAAAAGCAAACATAGATTCAAAATCTTCTTTATCCTTTGATGTCCCCACTCGTTGGAACTCCACATACATAATGTTGGAAACGGCTTTGAAGTTTCGACGTGTTTTTAGTGGGTTATCTCTTCCTGATGGAGAGGATTTGAATGACAATGAAAGGCCTCCCGAACCCGAAGATTGGGAAAAAGTGGAGAGGTTGGTTTTGTTTCTAGGGGGGTTTTATCTGTTAACTAAACGAATTTCTGGTTCCCATTATGTGACAGCTAATAAAGGTTTAGGAGAAATTGCTTCTATGTATGATATGTTGAATAATTGGGAACAAAGTGAGGACTTGAATTTTCAAGCCATGGCCATTGCAATGAAAAAAAAGTTTGATAAGTATTGGGGGGATGTGGATAAGATGAATAAGTTCATTTATGTTGCTCTTCTTCTCGACCCTCACTCTAAGATGGTCATTGTTGAATTGACACTAACGGATATGCATGGACCGGAAAAGGGTACAAAACTTGCTAATGATGTGAAGGAGTTCGCTTACTCTTTATTTGAGGAATATAGAAAAATGTATGCTACTTCTAATATTCCAGATTGTGGAGATAATATGTCAATGGATATTGATAATAGTAAAGGAGTGGGTTCCGATTATGTGAGGAAACTAAAAGAAAGAGCAAAACGATTGAAGGGGACAAGTGGGTATGCGATAAGTGAGTTGGATAGGTACTTAAATGATCAATTAGGGCCGGAGGAGGAAGAACAAGATGCATTGACATGGTGGGGTAAGAATGGTCAGCGTTATGTGATTCTTAATCGCATGGCACGTGACATACTAGCCATCCCATTGTCGACCGTTGCATCGGAATCTGCTTTTAGTACGGGAGGTCGTACTCTAGATCCATTTCGGAGTTCTTTAACTCCTAAGGTAATGCATCGTTATCTTTTTATTTTATAAAATCAAGTTTGTTTATATCTTAATATGACTTTGTTTATACATATTTGTGTAATATTTTTGTATTGAAGATGGTTCAAGCGTTACTTTGCACACAAGATTGGCTTAGAGCTAAGGAAGTGCCAATTGTTGATGTGGAAGAAAATTTGAAAGAGTTAGAGGAAATAGAGAAAGGTAGTAATAATTTTATGTATTTGAAATTTTGTTACACCAAATTTATTATTTCATTGTTATCAATCATTAATATATTCTATATTGTATTTTATTTAGAGGTGCAACGTGGTGAATCTAACGATGTAGACGATGAAGTTGTTTTCGTGGACTCATTAGTGTGAATCACGCGATCAAAGGGAAAACAACTCGTTGGAGAATTTATGTATTCCTAGTACTTGAGAGTTGAGAGTTGAGACTTAAGAGAATTTATGTAATTTTATGAGTTTTCGTGGACTTATTTGTATTTTCGGTGGACTCATTTGTATTTTTGGTGTTTGAGAATCGGGACTTTATAGACTTTATGTAGTTTTGTAATTGATAATTTTGGTTTGTATGTAATTATTAAATTATGCAACAGGTCTAAAAATCACAAAACAGGTCCATATGCAGGTCCATATGCAGGTCCAACAGGTTTTGTATTAAAAAAAAAAAAAACGAAAAAGACACAAAACAGGTCCATTCAGGTCCAAACCCGGACCGGACCTGATTTTTCAGGTCTGGCCCGGAACCGGACCTGTTAATTCAGGTCCGGTCCCCGGTCCTCATAATTACCCAATTCAGGTCCCCGGTCCAAACAGGTCCGGTCCAGGTCCGGTCCGGTTTTGGACCGGTGTACACCCCTAATTGCAGCTGTGGTTTTGCTGTCGTCTTGTGTTAGCTGGGCTGTGTTGTCTGTCTGTTGCTGGGCTAGGTTGCTGGTGTGCTTTGCTTGAAGCAAGCAGGTCCGGAGCTGCTGTGTTAATTTGCCTATTTTTTTTTATTTGCCCTTAATTTGCCTTTTTTTTCACTTGATTTATACTGTTGTGTTTTTGTTTTTTCAGCAATGGAGCAAGAGTTTATTGGTTTTGATGAGGATTCTACTGTAAAGAATCAAGATTCTACTCAACGTACCACTAGTGGTAGTAAGCGTGGACGAACATCAGATGTTTGGAGGTATTACACCTTTTTTGATAAGATGGTTGGTCTTGCTCCGATAAAATATGCTCGATGCAATGTTTGCGGTAATGAATATAAAACTCCAGGTAATGCTGGTACTTCAACTTGTAAAGCTCATACTAAGACATGCATGAATAAAAATCCACACCATCCTGGAAATCATGAAAGTGGTGTTGAGCTCCTGTTTAATCAAACACGTCATTTACAATTGCTTGCTAGAGCTATAATTTTGCATTCCTATCCTTTAAGTATTGTGGAGCATCATGGCCTTAGGGAAGTTTTTACGAATTTGAACCCCAACGTGAATCATGTGTGTAGAAACACTATTTTGAAACATTGTATTGATGAGCATGATAAGTTTAAGTCTTTGTTGTTGCAATCTTTTTCGGGAATTGAAGGTAGAGTTAGCTTCACTTGTGACTTGTGGACAACATGTACTAATCGAGGTTATCTTACTTTAACGGCACATTATGTTGATAAAAATTGGTGTCTTAGGTCTAAAATTCTGAATTTTAGATATTGTGGTCCTCCTCATACTGGTGTTGAGGTAGAAAAATTTGTGTTAAAACTTATTGGGGAGTGGAACCTTCAGGGTAAAGCTTTTGCAATGACTGTTGATAATGCTCGATCCATGGATGTTATGGTTAACCTTTTGAAGAAAGATTTAATGTTGACTTCTCCTCTTCCTTGTAATGGTAAATTTTTTCATATTCGATGTTCAGCTCATGTCTTGAACATTATTGTTCAAAGAGGTTTAAAAGAAGTTGATAGTAGTGTTCAAAAATTGCGTGAGGTTTGTAAATATATTGATTCTTCAGATTCTAGACTCACTCAATTTGAGCATGCTCTTCATGAGGTTAACTGTGTGTTTAATGAAAAGTTACGTCTTGATGTTGTGACTCGTTGGAATGCCACATATACGATGATTCGAAAAGCTTTGGAAGCAAAGGAAGCCTTGAAATTGGTTATTGATAGGTTTATTGGTTATGAATTCAAACTTTCGAATGATGAATGGGATACCCTTACTAAAATATGTAATTTCCTAAAGCCATTTCATGAAATCACTGTGTTATTTTCTGGTTCAGAATATCCTACTGCAAATTTGTATTTTGCTAGTGTTTTAAAAATTGAGCACGCAATAAGTAAAGCCCAGATAGATCCTAAACTTGCACCCATGGCAAAAGTTATGCTTGAAAAGTTTGAGGGCTATTGGGATGAATATAGTTTGATCCTATCAATTGCTATTGTTCTTGATCCTCGTTATAAGCTTGTTCGAGTGATGAAGATGTTAAAAGTGCTTTATGTTGATGAGGCATGTGTTGAAAAGGCGAAGGTGATTAAAGATGCTCTTTTGGAGTTGTATAACTTTTATTCTTCTTTGTCTTCCGGTTTTACATCAAGTACAAATGCTCCACCCTCCATCCCAGCTGTTATCGAAAATTCAAATAGTCACTTGGATGATGATATATTCAAGGTAATCAATTTCTGATTATTGTGGTTTACAAAATTAATAATTTTATGTTTTAATTTTATTATTTAATAAAAGCATTTTGTTTGAACTTTTCTAGTATGTTGATAATGATGATGATGAGGAGGATGACACATCAAATCGACCATCGATGGAGATTGATTCTTATTTGTGTACTCCTCGACAACCAATTTATGAAGGGAAGAAGTACGATGTTCTTAAGTATTGGGAATCTCAAAGTAGTGTGTACCCCATATTAGCTGTTATGGCTAGGGATGTTTTGGCCATTCCTATTACATCGGTAGCCTCAGAGTCTTCTTTTAGCATGGGTGGTCGTATTTTAAACAAGTATAGGAGTGCGCTTTTGCCTAAGAATGTTGAGGCGTTGGTGACCACACAAAATTGGTTACGTGGTTATGATTGTGATATTGAAGAAGACGTCCTTGAAATTGGTAAAGAAGTGATAGATGAAAGTTTTGCATCTAATTAAGAAGACATGGATGTTGTATTGTAGTGAACTAGTGATGCTTAATATATATTGTGTTGCTTCATTGCTAAAATGTTTTAATCTCATAGAACAAGTATTAATAGTTTTAGTCACATTATATATTGATATGTTGTTCCTTTTTTTATCTCGAGTTATTGGTTATTATTTATGTCCCGCTAAATATTCATCTTGACCTGCAAACGACTCACTTCGTAAATGATCTGCATCGACCCACACTGACCCACCCAATAACCACTCCTAGTAGTAAGTAGTTTGTAAACGGTTCGATTTATAAGGATTCGGTTCATAAATAGTTCGGTTTAAAAATGGTTCGGTTTATAAACGGTCCGGTTTATAAACGGTTCGGTTTGTAAACGGTTCGGTTTGTAAACGGTTCGGTTTGTAAACGGTTCGGTTTATAACGGTTCGGTTTATAACGGTTTTTATGCCAGTTTAAACGGTTTCGGGTTAGAAACGGTTCGGTTTATTTTCGGTTCGGTTTCCTTTCCAGTTCGGTTTAGATTTGGTTCGGTTCTAAAACGGTTTAACATTACTCGGATCGGTTCGGTTTCGGGTTTACTAAAATGCGGTTCGGGTCGGTTTTCGGTTTCAAAAAATCGGTTTTTAATCGGTTCGGTTCTCATTCGGATCGGTTTGAATCGGTTCGGTTTCACCGGTTCGGTTCGGTTTTTGACAGTGCTAGCTAAAATGCTAAACATGAGGATTAATAAGGCGCCAAAGCTATGGCAGTTTACAGTCCACTCGTTAATCTACAAGCTCACAACCTCCATTGTTCCTCCTCCTTCTCTCTTGCAATGCCATGTCTCTCCCTTCCTTACTTCTCTCTCAACTCATATTGTCAGTAACATTCTCTCTCCTCTTCTTTATTCCTTCATTTTTTTTTCCTTATTTTGTATTATTAATCTATCATAATCTTATATTTCTGTCAAATTAATTTTTTTTTTTTAAAAATTGATCATAAAATTCTACATTTGATAATGCTTGGCAACATTTAAATTTCAATTTGAAACTATTAATTAAGAATTATTCTCGTGTAAAATTACTAGGGTTGATGTTAAAAATTGATTCCAATTTCAGCTCTAGAAATGAAGTATTGGGGTGGAAGAAGAAAAAGAGGTGTTTGTTTGGCTTCTTCATCACAGAATTCAAGTAATGATGTTGCACGAACAAGGTGGGTTTATTTCCCTAATTTTTAGCTTGTCATCTTAGTTTAAAATCTCTAGAATAATTGTTCAATTAAACTTAATTTAGTGATTGCATGGTAAATTGAATTATTTTCTAGTTTAAATGGCTATGTATTGAATTATTGATGCAATGTGCTTAGTTTCTGATAAGAAATGTAATTCTCCTGGAAATTTTATATAGAGGACAACTAAGTTTAAGTTAATTCGATTGTTTGGATTGTGGCTAAAATTTCCTATATATTCCGATTCTGTGTATAAGAGTGAGCAAGCATAGTAGCAGTGGTAGTGTTTGTTGACCCGAGATGGATTTGATTAGAAGAAACGAGGGAGAACGAATGAGGAAATCAGTGCAGAAAAGAAGATATAAAGAATGAGAGGAGAGGGATTGAGAGAAGAAGGGTGAGTTCTTGAAAAAAAATTGTGATTTTTTTTTAAAAAAAAATTTGGAAACATTTTTCGCTCTTCGGATAAGAAATTTTTCACTGAATATCCTCCCGTTGTGTAGGGGAATTTCAGAAATCATTTTTCCCAAGATCACTCCCTGTCCAACCAAATGTACCTTGCCTTTAATCTTTTGAAGTGTATTCAATTTTTAAAAGATTAAAGGCAGCTCAAGTTAGGGTATTCCAGTCTTGCATGCTATGGTTATCATTAAATTGGAGACGTTGAAATTGCTTCCATTCTTCCATTTTGTCATAATGACTTGCAACTCACTCAATTCGATAATGGGTAAATCTATCAAGGCATATAGCCAAGGAAAAATATAGACAATGTAGTTTGCTGTGTGAAAGTCAGTCCAGATCAAAAAGCATGTTAGAAAAATCATGATCAACCTGATAGGAAAATTGTAAATGAGGTTATTGACACAAAAGATTTGTCGAATTCATAGGTCATTTTATTTGGCAAAATATAGTGAGATTAGGGGCTAGAGAAAGCTGTAAGAAATCAACCTTTTCTTCAGTTGTGTTGGCTGAACCAATGAGTAGTGTGGTTTTGGTTTGCAAACCTTGTTCCGTAAGAGATATTATTTCCAATTTATGGACTTTGTGTCTCCATCGTTGTATTGCAGGAAAGTTGTGGAACATTTATGTTTACTGAGAGCAAAAGAAAATTTATCTGATGAGCAAGAGAAAGATATGTTGGACAACCTTTATACATCTCAGTATCATATGGCTGGCATAGTGGCAATATCTTTAGGTAAATAAACATCAAACATTATAGGACTACATGCTTACAGATTTGTGCTTTGTTTTCAGAATTAGCTATCCTTACAAATCATCAATATCTTTTTATATGGTTGATAGATAAGCATGAAAAATATCATAGTTGGTTTATGCTAGTTGTATGACTTCTGGAAGTTATATCAATGATTCCTGTAGGACGGACGTCAGATCAAAATTCTGTAAATTACAGCCATGGTGTATTCATGCGTTTCCAGAGAAAGGAAGACCTAGCAAAATTTTATGAGAATCCTTTGTATTTGCGTGTTCTCAAGGAGCATGTTACACCTTTCTGTCATGTATGCACTGCAATGTAAATTTCAAAGCTTATTTATTCCAACTTACCTTTCCACTATTTTAGCTGTCTCTTTACTTGTGGTTAGATTAACTGAGGTATTTACTGCCTTTTTTTTTTTGACAAAAGGTATTTACTGCTACTTAAAAGTTATTGTTTACAATTTTACAGGATTTGCTATATGTGGATTTTGAAGCTGAAGTAGAAGATGATATCCTTGCCATTTTTCGGAAAGGAGAGGTTGGGATTTAGTGTCGCCTACAATTAGTTATGCACTAGTTTGAAATACTGGGCTCTGATGTTAATACCCTTTTTATATTTTAATAATTGAAGTTGGTAAGATTGACTATTGTGGCTTAGAAGGATACATAAAGCCAACTCTGATTCAACAATCTTATGTGACTGATGGTCTTTATAGCTATTTGAGTTTGGCAAAATCTTTAATGTATCACAATAAACTAGTGCATAGTCATATGACTCATGCAGGTTGTAGCAATAGAAAGATGGTCAAGATGAGAGGAAACGTGAAAGGGAAGGAGAAAATCACTTCATATTAGGTGATAAAACAGGATAGATGAATCAAAATGAACAACTACTAATGATCATTACTCCTCTTTTAACTTTTTTTCAAAAATAATAGGAGATATTAGTAAAAATGACATTACCTTAGGGTTTTATATTTATTTTTTTATAGACTAGGCAAATCTGAGTCTGTAACATTCTCTCCTAAGGATTGCTCTTAGCTTCAAGATGGTCACTAAACTGACTTATATCGTCCTGGGTAACAGGAATTTAATTCCGGAGTGGAGTTTGTGATTCTGATTAAGTTTCATGAGAGCGCTTTAGATGGACCAGCAGAAGATGTGTTGACCTCTCTTGCAAACTTGGCCTTCGAGTTTCCCTCCTTGATCGTCCAGTCTACTCAAGGTGTAGTTTAAACCTAATGCATTCCTCTGACTCTGAGGAAACATGGAAGCTTTTTCTGGAATCCAATATACCGAATATTTTAAACAGGAAATGCTTCTATGATTACAGATATACACTACCTATTTTACAAATTCACAACATACATAATATATGCCTGCTTACCTTTCAGCTTTTTCTCAGGTAGTAATTTTAACTCTGAAAGCAAGGATTACACTCATGCAATAGTGATACGATTCCGCTCTGGTGAGTTTTTTTCCACAGGTTATGTTCTTCTGAATTGTTAAAGTTGGAGCTGACTTTTGATGTTATTTTGCAGTTGAAGCTCAGAGGATCTTTATGGAAAGTTCAGAGTATAAACATGTAAGACCATTTATCAATTATCAATATAGTTAAGTATGCAAATATCTGACTGGTGGGATGTAATCTTCCCGGTTGATCTCTGTGGAACCTTTGTGTTGGTCAGTTTGTAAGATGGATTCCTCCATTCTAGTGAAGTGAAAGCCATACACCTTCAGTAGATCAACTTTTCATGAATATGTTCTGCTTTCTTTGAACTCTTTCTTGCTAACCTTAGGGTTCTCTTATGCGTGGCCAAACGACCTACTCTATGAAGATTTACGTGATGGTATTAATTTTCTAAAAATTAAAACAAAAAAGTGAAAATTAGCTGAGCATGGCGCTAGAATTAAAGCAGATATCATGACCATTAATGTTTTCTTCTACTTCTATAGTAAGTACTATAACTTTGTTGAACAATGACATGGGTTATTATAGTACAGTGCAGCAAGTTATCATCATATTTTTTTTGGCAAACTTTGAATAAACAGATATGGGAATCAAAATTGCTGCCAATCAGCCAGAATACTCTTTCTTTCCATTTTCTCGTGGATCCAGTAGGCACTGAACTCATGTAGGGCAGCTGTATGTGCATTCTGATTATAGATGAAGGCATAATAATTCTGGTAATGGCAACTTCATATATCTGACCAGTTATCAATATTTTCTATTGAAACCAGCTATTTATTTATTTATTTTTTCTCTATTGTTCATGACTTCAGGTAGTTCTTCCACATTTTGACACTTTCACTTGTGTCTTTTCAGTATGATTCAAAGATCTGAAACAATATTTTCCTCAATCTGATGTGTCTCTCTGGCCTACGTAAGCTGGAAATCTTATCTTTTGCTTATACTGACTTATTATCTGGAGCTTCATATTCGTGATTGGTTGGCTCTGAATAGTTACGTGTTTAATTTTTGCAGGTTTTTCTTCATTAGAGTGATGATGTTTGACCTACTTCATTGCCGAATTTGGAAAGATACCCGGTGAATGATAGTTAAGTACATTCTAATCAGTCTCTTTTGAAGTTTCGTAATTGGAAAAAAAGGAATATGAAATAAGTTGCTGTCTTTGGTGGGTATGTTACACAGGATTAGGCTTTTTGAACTGGGGTCCTAGTCCTGTTACACTATTTGATTAAATGGCTATCTTTTCAGTCACAATCTGGTTTACTGTATTGTTTGAAACTAGGAAAAGAATTTAATTGCGAGCTTACGGATAATGCAGTGATTTCATTCATACAAAATACTGTCTTAGATCTTAGTGACTTTACTTTTAATCCCTCTTTTTATCATTTTTTGGTTATCTTTATTGAGTATATGACTAATTCAATGTGCAAATTTGATTACTATTATATCTTTTACTTTTGACAATTTTGTAAATTGAGCCTACATTTATTTACATGTACCAATAAATAAAACCATTTTATGTCGTAAAGATGTCTATATTACTGAGTCATTCTTTTATTTTTCTGCTAATTTGCTAGACCCTGCAACTAGAGGTTAGACAGTAATGCTTCTACTGACTCGGTATGTATTTTAACTTGTGACTTGGAGGTCAAGTCTTACTCCCCTCGGGCTCTTGGGAAAGGGGTCTCCGGTTCCCTTATCCCCCAGACCCCTCCCCCCACCCCCCCTCAAAACTGTAGACAAAAACTGGTCTGAGGATTTCCACAATACGGTCCAGAACCAGGCCGCTTTTAAAGTAATATAGTAATGCTTCAACGGTTCTACCAACTAAGTTATTGAATTCAGGAAATATTGGTATACTAAAAGACGGCCCCTCTCCCTTGATCATTAACTGAAAAATTCAGTTATATGTCATGTTGGTGTGCTTAAAAACCTGACTTTCTGCACACTACCTCCAAATTTTTTATGTAAAGAACTCACTATAGTTGTCCATCTCTTGTACTTTCATCATCCTACATATATATATTTTAGTATTATATTTGTCACTATTACATTATCAGGCTATCAGCACCTCCACTCCCTCTCCTTATCTCATTAAAATTATATTCTGAAAGGAATTGGTAAATTTTAAGGAAAAAAGGAACAGAAATTTTATTATATATTTTTCTCGTAACTTTTTTGAGCTATAAATGATTGATTTGAAAAAATAAGTTAAAATATAACCATTGAGAAATTTTATACACAGGACAACTTTGCTGCAGATTTCTGTAGCATACAAAAAATATAAAATCCTTCTAATGTAGTACAGTATAAGCTTGTAATAAATACAATACACTATATATATATGGTTGTATACAGAAATAAAGAATAAACAAAATTCATGCTACTGAACTATCTATGAAATAAGAGAAGAAAAAAAGTATATCTAAAACAGCTAACTTCCTGTTATAGCTAGAGCTGATCAATTATGGAGGGGGTTCGGACCGCCTGGAACACTTCGAAATGAATCCCAGTAAACCTGTTCATTGCTGTTGGATCCCTTGGGAGCATTTGTAAGGAACTGCCATGTAGCTTCAGAGCTTGGCTGCTCTGTCTGTGGTTGTTCATTGCTCTGATCCTTCAGTATTCGCCGGCAACTCGAAAGATGGAAAGACAGAAAGATGATGAAGATTAGGATGGGAATCCTTGTACTTGTATGAAATCCCATGAAAGTTATTGTGGTTTGAGTTAGCCTGGAAAAGATATGATGAAGTGCAAAAGAAGTTGGTTTGAGTTTTTAAAGAGTTTGCTAAAAAGAGGTGGTTATAAAAGCTTTATAATATAGTATGTTACAGAAGATAGGAGCCAAAATTCAATTAATACAGGTCTAAAATTACAAAACAACCCATCCCCATCTCACCAAATCAATTCTCATTATACATCAGACGAAGGGTAACGCAGTCTTTTCAAATCATTAGAGTGTTAATGTAAACAAGAACAACCCATTAGTCAAACTGAGAACCAAGAGTTGACTCTTGACATATTTAATAGGAGTAAGATTAATTAATTAATTAATCAGCCTAATTAATATCAATTAGGTGGCACATTATGCCGACACGTGGCAGAGTAATAACATGTCGTTGTACCATGCCGTATCACATGTTTTTGCCGTCTAAATAGACTGAACAGACGGCGTATTAATCGTTGACAATACCACTTGTAATAAGTTTTTTATAAACTTTATCTTAGTGTTTTCTCATCATGTTCATGTTAATGCTCACGTCTACTTCAAAGTTTTCATCATAGTTTATAGATTTGGTTTTTGACGGATAATAAAGGTAAGGCAAAGCCGGTGCTTACCATTTTATAAGTTTCATAGTTTGGGAACAATCTTCATGCGGTTGGCAAAAACATGTCTATCGACTATTCATGCCAAATTTTCATTGTTTTTGGCTCCTAAAGTTCACATGTGTGTGAATGTAGATAGGAGAGAGAATTGTTATTATTTTAGGTAAAGTGGATCTAGAGCTTACTAGACTGTGAATTATGAGTATACCCATATTCGAGTTGACGGGTTTGGGATGCTCCCTACCAATGCTGATGCAAATACAAAAGCCCTAGTTAAGTTGGATTAACTTCTGTACCACATACTTGTTTTTAGGTAAGGAGAATTCTCTTGCAAGTAAGGGAAAAATTGAGGATCTCACTTGTTTGGGTGAGAATCAAATACCTTTTATAGGGGTGGAAGGAGGGCCAACCACTAGGCCAACCTTAATTCTCCTTTACCAACTACTTATGATAGTTATCGAAGACTCGAAGAGGATATATTTCATGGATACATATACCACTCTAATGTCATTAGTGTTATTTTAATTCTTTTTGGCTATTCATTAGAAGCATTCTTCAAGCGAAACAAGAAAAGGTTGTATCTCGTCAATTTTGATAATTATATTTATCTTATTCATTAATTATACTGATTGCTAGTAATATGTGATGATATTGAAATTGTAATTGTAACATGAATCTAGTAAGTAAAGTTTCTTAATGGTTGCCCAATAGCAAAATACGACCATAAAATTTTATCAATACTAATTGTTTTAAAGAAAATTATTATTGTCTTACACTCTTACAAAAGGAATTTTTTTTTTTTTGGAAAGCTACAAAAGGAATATTTTAATCAACCAACATTTTCATATTAATATGCTACGTACTTCGTATTAGGTTAATAATGATTCCCTATTATAATGGAAAATACAAGTATAAGTTTATTAAAAAAATGACAGATTTCAAGTTCAAGTCTAGAATACAATATCTTAAAACATAAGCTAACAATATACGAAGCATGTTTTCATGACATTTACTTTTGCGTCACCAATGAAAAAAAGTCAGATGGTATTTATAATTAATGTCTAGTTATCGTAATTAAGATTAGACTTTCAATTAAATACAGGTATGATTATCAAATCATAAGAGTTTAAGTCTTGCAAGTTTGAGCAATTTGAATGAAGCCAAAATAAAATAAAGAAATATTTAACCAACCAAAGTAAACTAGTCAAACATTTTAATTCAAGCACGTATCTCTTGTTTAATTATGTATGTCGGATCAACCTTAGTCCTTTTGAACTTGTTTATTAATTAATACCACAATTATTTCTTGTATTACTTGGCAATTAGTGTGATTATGTGAAGAATTGTCAAGAATAGACGTTAATTAATTAAATAACATCCGCGTATGGATATAAAATATACCATTAAAAAAATTATATAATATCCAACCTAATGTATATAAATAGGTGTGCTTAAGTTTTTTTTTTCAATTGATATTTTCTAAATGAACAAATATCATCGTATAAGCAAAAGAAATACATATTTTTAGTGCAACTAACTCTTGATACATCGGGTGCAATAAGAATTTTCATCTAGTCTTTTTTTTTAGACGGGAATTTTTAACTGGCCATTGAGCTAGCTAAACCTAAAGCTTGGAATATTGTATATGAAAAAAATTTCAGATATTTGAATATTTATTAAAATTCTTTTTGATACCTAATTTAAGTAATACAAGTACTTCGTATTCATTTTTAAGGATTTGGATGACAAAATTAAATCACTGGCTTCATAGACCACAGTCGTCTAGCGCGGGTCCATTAGCACAATTGATGACAAATTGCAAAAAGAAACAAAATCAACTAACACCAGCAGAGAGTTATTATGTCAATGCGATAGCTACCTTATGTAAATAATACTAGCCTTCGTATATCTATTGACTATAGTGATTGTAGTGCAACCATGCCATTTTTTAATGCTACACAAATAATATCACACAGGAAAATTTACTAGTTAACAAGTGAAAATTTGGGTCAAATGAGGAGATATTAATTGGTTTAGTGCCAAGGAAACGTCGAGTTGTTTGCGTAAATATTTATGAGAAAGATAGATGTACAATACATTGCAATAAGATTTTGTTAAGACAGCCTTTGATACCCAAAAAGGGTAATACTGGAATTTGGATCATCCGAAAAAAAGGGGGGTGGGGGTAATGAAATTAATCTGATAACTTGATATTGAAATCTCAGAGATAGGCAGGAGCAATACATTAGACATAGACATAGACATGATGAAACAGTTACAAGAAATCAGATGAATATGACTATATGACATTTTAACTGAGAAATCAACTGAAGAATGTACAACTATTCCGCATTGCTGAGCTTCAAAAAAAAAATGGCCCCATTCAGAGCCCCTTAAGGGACCTAAACTGGTAAAAAGGCCTAAAAGTGGCATATTTGATTTTGGTGTCATAGAGTTGTGCACACAATCAAAACAGTCCCGCTGTCTTCTTTCTTTTCGTTTGAGAATGAGGTTCATTCCCAATTCAATTGCAGCATGGGAGATTTTAGCCATTTGCATTAAGCTCAAGCTTCCTTCTTGTACACGTGCCTCCCCCGGCCAACTGTCAGGCTGAGGAATTTGGCTTCCTCAGTTGTATTGAAAATCTTTGACAGCACTTCCCAGCTATAAAAAACTGAAGCGAGTTTATCCAAGTACTCTGAACATCGAAGTGTGCTATTTCCTTACACGAATGCCAGGAATATCTTTCAAACCCATTTTTACAACTGTTTTTCTGAAAAGTGCAGGAGGTTTCTCCAACCCAATTGACTCACAAAATTGGTTTGCCCAATTCACGAGTGAGGTCTTATCCCTGCCTATTTCCCTAAGAGAATTATAGTAACCAAGCCAAGCATGGTACGCAGCTTCTTTCACACTAGTATCAATCTTTGCCATTGAATCCACCATCTGCAAGGTGAAAGAAACCGTGAAAGAAACCCAAATGAGAATTGTAGTAACATTTCATTTCCAAAAGAATAATGAAAACCAATGTGAAAGATACCCAAGTGAGAATTGTAGTAATAATTCAATTCCAAAAGAATGGTGTAAAACCAATGTGAAAGTAACACGAGTGAGAATTGTAAAATCTTTCATTTTTCTTATTTTCCCTCTCCTTAAGGATCAAGACTTCAAGCTTATTCTTGACTTTAAAACCAAATTTTGAACACAGCCCTCACCAAATAAATGATAGCAAATAAAGGACCACCTTGATCCACAAGGAAATAACGCTTGTATTATATGTGACTTTATTTCTTTCTTTCTTTATTTCTTTAAGCATTTTCACTTTTCCATCGGAAGCTTCCTGTTTACATTCCCCTTCTTTATAACAAGGCACTCACTCCTTTTTCTCCACAAATGATTGCTTTCAAAAATGGCTTTAGGAACCATATTTTTACTTTATACTTGGCCCAGAAACATACACTACTTGGATATAACAATAAAGTCAATAACCTTCTAGTCACTTCATGACAATACTGCCTTCATTTAGCCTAGTGCCCCAACTCCCTCCTTGTATACAGGTTTATATATATATATATATGCAGTAGCAAGCACCAGATAAGTTAATATTTTGTTTATCTTTGTTATTATTGATGTTTGGGTCTGGTTAAACAAGTGAAAATGGGACATGGTATCTTCTATGGGCTAATTAGGGCTCGTGAGTATGGGATAGGTAATTTATAATTATACATATTATTGGGAAAATATATGTCGAAGATTACCTTATTTTTTCATTCCTTTTATGAGCTAGTATCTTGTGTTTTGCTAAATAGCACCTTAATAAACGTATTTTAAAATTAAGACCTCATCACCGAATTCTAGGAGAAAAGTCCAGCTTACAATACACGTTCCATTTGTTTTGGTTAGTGATGTGAATCAAGAGGCTAATTCTTTTGAAGGGTCCAAGACACTTTTAAAAGGTCCAAATAGCTTCATTATGGGCTGCCCAAACAAAGAAATAAACAAGGAAAGGTTCACTAGTTCACTAGGGAAAGAAGGAAGCATGATTTGCAAAGAAGAAGAAATGGAGCAGTTCACTTCCGGCGAGGAGCACGATGGCCACGCGCCGAGATGGGGCCCACGCGCCACCTTCCCGGAACCACCTTGAACCCAGCTGCAGCCTGAGCCGGTGCGTGAGACAAGGGGCGGCGCGTGTGGTGGTGTGGTGGCGGCGACATGAAAAGGATGATTTTTTATATACTTAGTTTATTTCTAGAGTTTTGCTTGCAAGTTTTCACTTGAAAGGGTTTTTCTTGGTTTAAGCAATTAGGATAAGTTTATTTTTCTGTCATTTAGTTGCTATAAACTTCCTAAGGTGATTAGGAAAGTTTTTAGTTAGTTAGAGTTTGATTAGGAATAAACTACCTAGAAATCTTATCTTTGATAGGATTGAAATTCTATCTTATGTAGGATTATTAGAATCCTATCTAGGTTAGATCTCCTACTTCTAGGAGGACTAGGATACCTCTTTTGAGTCCTATAAAAGCTTATTTTCGTGGCTTTGTAGATACATAACAAATACACAAAAATTCAGTTGAATAAAAATTCATTGTTTAGCTTTTTGCTTAAACGTTTTGCTCAATTCAAGGAGTTGGTTGAAGATTAGAACATTAAACACTTAGTGTCTAGGAGTAGGCTAAGAATTTAATCTCAAAATAATTAGCGTCCAGGAGTGGGTTAATTAATTTGGGGATTCGAATCATAAGTTTCAGGAGTGATCTTGTGAGGAGAAAGATCGGTTCATTTTTATTCAATCTTAAAGAAATCCTTCAAGATTGGATCTTTATTTCAAGATTGTGGGTTTTCTAAAATCTTGACTAAACAAGGGGTTAGAATCCACATCAGTTTGTTTTTTTTAATCCTTTTTTGATCTTATCTATTTCTCATTTCATATTCTTGAAATTTTAAACAAAAGAACCATGACTCAGCATGTGTGAATAGGGTATAGAGAGGCTGGAAAATGGAACTCAAATGCCGGAATATTAACTTTCCTACCAGAAAAATAGCATTATAGCAACAAGACAAAAGGGGGGGTGGGTTGCGCTTGTAAATTGTTAAATCTATTCCTATCAATTCACCAAACAAGGAATGGACAATATTTTTCAGAATTCCCAATCCCCATCTCTAATCCCCCAATTCCCATTGCCACAAACTCAAAGCCACGACAGGCTATTATTTCAACCCCCCCCCCCCCCCACACACACACACCAAAAAAAAAAAAAAAAAAAAAAAAAAAAAGGTACCAGTTCACAAAGAGTGACTACTTGACTAGTAAGGCATTTTTTGACAAATTTTCCTAACTAAAATTTGATTATTACTTTTATTACTGTAAAGTTTTATACTGTTAGTCTAATCAACTTTGTATAAGGGGTTCTAGTAATAAATTGTGGAGTTGTGGAATATATGAGAAATTGAGAATGATAATTTGAGTAAAATTTGCTTGTGAAATTTAAAAGTGATCCACAAACCTTTATAAATTAATACAGGAGAGAGCTAGAATATTGTGTGATTGCTCAGATTAAGAGTATTCTGAGGAAGTCAAAATCCTAATCAAGAGCGTGAGTTTAATAAGTTCTCTATCTTAAGCCTATCAAGAACAGCAGCGAGTCAACATGAATATGCAGAATACCAGAATTCATAAACCAGAGAATTATTTTCCATATATGTATTTGCTCTTGGTCAAAGCTTAATAGTAGTATTTATATATTGCAGCAGAATGCTACAAGAAAGAAATAAAACCTTTGATCTTGCATATGGGTCAACATGTGGTGCCGAAGACCTTTGAACAGGCAAGTCCTTTATGTCCTCCAAGAAATGTTCTTCCCATGGAGCAAGCAGCAAAATGCCTTCACCATCTTTTCCTTCACGACCAGTCCTCCCAAGGCGATGTACATATTGCTCCCTATCAGAGGGAGATCTAACCTGGAAATATCCACATTTTCATATATAAATAGTTGCAAATTTTAGATACAAAATAATAATCTACTCAAAGGCCTATGTGCACAAAAGTACATGCTAATTTCATTTGCCATATTTCGGAGAAGGTTTTTTAGTTTTTTACTAGTCTAAACTGGTCAAAGATTCCAGATTCTGACAAGGTCAAGATACATGTTGAATTTCAAAGCTTACCCAACTTGCTAGCTTAAATTGAGCCTAACCTGGAAAAAGTGGGTTAGGGTTGAGATTACCAAAGAGGTAATTTCAAAGAGGCACAAAGGACTGCTTATTATATAGTCTAGCAATAATTGATTTTTATTTTGAGTAAATTGAGGCGAGGCAATTTTAAAGAGGTGGTGCGGACACGGACTATAAAGCACAGAAAAATCCCTATTGCCTTAGTCCACGTTGTTATGTGTTGGTCATTGGTCAATAGACTAAATCTATAACAAACCTTATATGAAACTTCAAAAAGAATAGAAGTAGTTATATACAGTATAAATCATAAGTTAAGGCATACCTGAATAACTAAAGTAACATCAGGATAGTTTATTCCTCTAGCAGATACATCAGATGAAATTAAAATCAGACGTTTTGATTGTTTAAACTCTTCAACTGTACGAGATCGGTAGAGTTGAGGCTTTCTTGAATGCAATTCCTTAACATTTAAACGCATTTCACGGAAGAGAAGGTACATAAGTGAAGTCACCATTCCAGTCGTACAGAAAACGATAACCTGGAAGCAAGTTCAAGCATTCCATCACACATCAGAAACAGGTGGCATATGTACTGATCAAATTCAGAAAAGCAGAACACCTCCTTACCTTGTAGTCTGGCATTTCTGTAATATGGTCCTTCAAAAGTTGGTATACTACATGAAAATGCACATCATGGGGAGCTATTATATAAGTCTGCTTCACCTACATAAAGCAATCATCTATAATAAATAGATAAATCCTTCCCTAGTCATAATAATACTAAAGCAAATCAATTGGAATTAACTTCAAAATTTGAGAAGATAGCAACAAACTAATTTAATCACATGCATATCGGCTTCAAATGTAAATATGGTGTGCCAATTTTGCTCCACATAATTGAAAAAATATCCAGGACAACCTAAACCTCAGCTGTCAAACAATCCCTCCACTAGGTTGTATACAGGCATTCATGGAAAAGGAACATCAATTTCTAATCCAGTATTGAGGGGCGCCAATACTACACATGGATGCATCCATGCACAGTTTAGGAGAGATCAAGGACACGATGTGGTGAAAACAATGGGAATGTAGTTATTGTTGCATAGTTGTAAGAGGGCAAACATCAAGGATGAATAAGTGAGGTGGGGATTTAAACTCCGTAGGCCAGCCAAACATTAGCGGAAGAAAACTTCTCCCCTTCCCGACCAAACAAATTAGAATTCAGGAGTTTCATTTCCTTCCCCTAGGTGTAAAAGTGAGTAACATGCAAAGCTTTCAACTCTGACACAATTTTGAACAAAAGCTAATGAAATTAGGATACTGAAAATTAAGGTTTAAGTAAAGCCTTTGCAAAAGAACTCAATATCAAACCAAAAATTCTCCAAGAAAAGCTTTCCCACACTTTCAGCAGTTTAAACTTTAAACTACTTCAAAATGATAAATAAGCACATCATCTAGGAGGAGAATGATGACTTAGCATAGACAGTTGCTATCACAAATAAGCAGTTCATTGAAAATAGTTATATCAAAGTGCCAGCAAAGTACCTTAGAACTGGAATCTGGACTGCCTGCATCCACAGTGTTGATAAAAGCATGCTCCCGTTTAAGAACAAGCTGAGAAATTCGACGGACCTGAAAATAAAGATATTATCAAGACCAGCAGTTATGCAAACAAATAAAGCTTTGAACACCTTGGTTTATTAGTGTTATTTTAAACCAAAATACTGGTGTAAGCAGGAGTAATAAATAACAACCTCTTTTGGCACTGTTGCAGAAAACAACAGAGACTGTCGTCGACGAGGTAAACAATCAACAATTTTCTCCATGTCCTTGCGAAACCCAAGATTTAGCAGATGATCAGCTTCGTCTAGTACAAGCATTTTAAGTCCCATTAATCTTGTAGACAAGCCTGATTTGGTCTCAATGTGATCAAGTAATCTACCAGGAGTAGCAACCAAAATCTGCAAGGTTTTAGTTTGGAAAATCAGTAAAAATTCTCAGATATATGCAAAGTTGAAAATAAGACTTGCTTGACACACTACAGAATAATAGAATGGCTTTAAGGATATCTTGTTGGCCTGTTAAATTTCTGCTACCGAAAAAAAAAAAAAAAAAAAAAAAAAAAAAAAAAAAAAAAGAAAGGCCAAATGACGCACCTGGCAAGGATCCAATTCCAGGCGTTTCTGGTCATCTTTGAAACGTGTACCACCAACTAGCATTTGGACACCCAAGCCGTCATGATTCTTCAGCAAAACCCTTGTTTCTGCAGCAATCTGACTAGCAAGTTCTCTCGTGGGGCAAAGAATGAGAACATATATAGGAGGCACACGCTTAGCTTTGTCACTAAGCATAGCTTTCAAAACTGTTTCAATTGCAGGAAGCTGTTTTTATTTAACAAGGCCACTGCAGTAAAGCATTATAAAAAACAGAGAACTATTTAACCCCAAAAGAAAGAGATAATAATTGTATACCAGAAAAGCAGTGGTTTTTCCTGTCCCAGCTCTAGATTTGACTAAAGCATCCTTACCTACAAGAGAAAACATGACAGTCAAAATAATGGAATATAAGACCTTAATAAAAGTAATACAGACTATCTACCACACCACTCCTAGACTCCATTCAATACAACTAAACCAATGCCTCTAACAGCTCTAATGGTCTAAGAATAGACCAGAGCAGGAAAATTTGCTGAAATCAATCCAAGAGATGGCAGAGCTCAGGCACAGCAAGTCCCTCGTTTATCTTACATTGAACACACACATGGCAATTGCAGAAGCAAGAACATGACCAGAAGTTTGACGGTAACCTACCCTCAAGATAAGCAGACAGTGTATCTTCTTGAACCCTAGTCATCACTTCATAGCCAGCAGCAGTTAATGCCTTAATTGTCAAGGGTGATATGCCACAGTCCTCAAATCTGAAACAACAATCAAGAAGATAGCTTAACAGATAAAGCTTAAAAATGAAATAGTACATCAATTGAAGTTCTTAAAGTCATTACGTAACACCAGCAAAAAACAAACAGCATCAATTTTACCAATGCAAGGCAGCTAAGGATATAATTATCAAGCAGCGCAACCCCCCCCCCCCCCTCTCCCTTCTTCAGCTACCCTTAAGCAACTAAAAACTCACATACTATCTCAGACTCTCATATCCAACTTCTATATGGCCATTAAAGACATCTACAAATTTTACTACATTAGTCAAATTTTACTAGTTTATGAATTCTTTAACTAATAATAAACAACAATTGTGAACATAAGCACACGAACCAAAAGGCAACAACAAATATTTAAAATGTAAGTAATAACAATTGGCAAACACCTTGCATAACATTATCAACAAAATAACAATCCCACCTCTTTTCAGAGGCAACAAACTCATCGCGATCGGTCACCTCTTGAATTTCTTCCATCCGCTTCCTCTCAATGATCTCCTGCTTAATCTCATAAATTTTCTCAGCCAAATCACCCTCTTCATCTTCTTGCTCAGCATACTCCTCCAACTCTTTCACAATCCGCCTTTTCGTCACCTTCACATCATACTTTCCTAATGTTGCATTCCCCATAAACCCCCTTACACTTTTCACATCACCCTTTCCACCCTCCTCCCCGCTCCCCGGTTCATTCCCTTCCAAAACAAACCTCGGCCACCTTGCATTACTACTCAACTTCCCATAATCTTCCTCATCATCCTCACTCGACGAACTTCCCTTTATATGTTTATAAAACTTCTTCTTCACTTTCCCCTTCACATTTCCAGAGTAACCCCTCATTTGCTGCAAATTACCCTTAAACCCCATCAAATTCCCTTCACAAAACCCCCTCATTTGATGCAAATTACCCCTAAAACCCATCAAAATACCAATACCGTCATCATTTATCTGACTACAAAAACCCCTCTTTTGCTGAAAATTACCATCATTAACAAACTTCCTGAGATCAATACCCGGATCATTCGGCTTACTCGGTCCGGCCCGGGGAGGTGAATGTACCAGGCCATCATCGTCATTCCACAAATCATCGGCACCCGGTTTCATGAGTCGGTCAGCAAGGGCTTTAATATGCTCCTGGGGTGACATGGGGGAATGAGACGGGCCTTCGGGCTTCTCCGGCAAGCCCAAAACGGAGGCCCGGATCTGGGAACGAAGACGAGCTTGGTAAAGCTGCTTTTCATGGTCAATAAGGCGCTTCTCTTTCTGGGAAGCTTTCTTTTCATGGAGGCGCTTCCATTGCCATTTGTTGAGTCCGCCTGGGAAGGTTCGAGGCCCTCCGCCCATGGGTCGGGCCCAGAGGAGAGAGAATGGTGGGCGGTTTCGGAAGGTTCTGGATGATTCTCGGATGATTACGGTGGTTATCATGGTGGTTTTTGTGGAAATGAGGGTTTAGGGTTTTAGCGGGAGACAAATGAGGAGAGAGGGTTGACGGAAGTGAGTGAGGGTTTGACTTTTGCCCTGGTTGATAAACTATTTTTTTTTTTTTTTAGTAAATGGTTGTTAATCAACCTTGATGTGAATGATGTCTGAGATTTTCAAGGGTAGTTCCGTAGCTTCAATGCTTCATAGTCTTCACTGGGTTGGCAAATCCCTCCGTCATTTATTTTTTGTAGGAGTAGATGAATTGTATTTCATAAAAAATATTTACATGCTATAAAAATTAAGACACTAATCACGTGAGGTATACAATTAAGGGAATCAATCACAAAGTCATAGGTAAGATACTTTACAAATATACTAAAAGATAGTGTTTGTTAATCAATCACTTTAACTAAGGAAATAGATTTCAATCATTTCATACAATTTTGAATCAAACCACATACGCCTAATTTTTATTTTTTTTAATCAATTTTGCTGATCACACTTGATTTTCACTTTTTTAGGTTCAAATTTGGATAATATAGGAATTGGGATTTGGATGTGACCCAATTTCATGTCATTTTATAAGTCAGACCAATTTTATGTCATTTAATAAGTCAGCCCAATCATCCAATATCAAATGTAGAATTTGAAATCCTCACTTCACCAATTCATTGAAGCGTATTTGTGTAATCCATTGGAATGGTTTCTAAGCTTTCTTTCCTCCATTGAAGCTGCTTTTGAGGTAAGATTACTGTTTCTTTAATTCTTGAATATTAATTGCCCAATCTAGGGTTTAATTTCACACTATCATTAATTTAAATGTTAGTATAGTAGTTCCTTCCTTTCAAAAAATGTTAGTATAGTTAACGTAGGGTTTCTCTTTGATGGATTATTGAACTAATGTATAATTACTAAGTTTATGGATGCTTAAAACGAGCGATTTTGTTGCAAGATTTTTGCTATTGATTATAATTCCTGCCAAATTTGTATGTATTAGGCGGGTCACTGTTTGATACCGGTCTTTTCCGATTGACCGACCCATTAATAATGCGTCTGTTTTCCGGTTCGATTTGGCGGTTGGGATGTAGGTCTCACTCGCACCCATGATCAACCCATGTGGGTCCCTTGCTGCAGCAGCGGTGGCCCGTGGGATGATTGTAGTGGCGGGAGGCGGGTCAAAGTTCGGGGCATCCAGGTCTCGGGTCGGGTTTTCTGAGCTATATGATTTTTAGTGAGTGGGCCCCACTAGCTAACCTTCCCGGGTCACGGGCTGGGTGTGTAGGGTTTAGTGTGGGTGGTGAAGGGAGTTTTGGGTGATAAGTGGGCACAGCAAGGCGAGGACGATTAATGGTGATTTGCCGGTGGATGAATATTATAAGCCTGTGGTGGTGTTGGAATTGGAGGGTGGTGGTGGTGGACTGAAGCCGGGGGCAGGGCTGTGGAGAGAGGTTGGGAATATGTGGGGCAATAAGGAGAGAGCTAGGCTTGGAAAGGTTGTGGTGATTGATGATGAGGAAGAAGAGATAAGAAATTGCCTGGGGTGTTTATGCTTGATGGGAATGACATTTTTAGGTGAAATTTTATCATTTTTGTTACAAAGTTTTTTAAATTTTATTTGATTGGTAGTAGTAGTTTTTGAATGTGATTATTTCATTGCATTGTTGATTAAGTGTAAAACAAGTACTGATGATTGTTATCTGTTATTTGTTTTACGTGTAATTGTGTATGTTTAGTGTAATTAGAGTGTGGAAGTGTGCGAATGCTTTGTTTGGAGGATTATATTAAGTAATTGCTTTATTTTCTTGTTTATTGGAGTCTTAAGAATGTTTGAAGGACTATGAGTATAGATTAGTGTTGCGCGTGCCTTTGGCCAGCTTTAGATACTGGGTGGTTGGTTGCAAGGAAAGATACTGCCAAGAAGATGATTTCGTTAGAATGTTTTGTCAAGTTTTAGGGTAAGGCATAATCTTTACATCAATTGTCAAGTAATATAAATACGATGCAATGCTAGGAAGTCTACCTGCCTTAGATTTCTAGTTTAGCCTAAATCGACTCCATAACATTAGGTAAACATTCCTGATACAACTCTAATTTACTCCGTATGTAAAGTTAACTAGACATACCAAATGTAAGATATGTTTCCTATTGTGTTTCGTTGTTGATATGTTATTGTGGGCACGATTATTGGTTAATATTGACTTACACTGCAACAATTCTAAGGATTCCCAATTGGCTTTTGGCTAAGTTTCCTCTATTTTATTTGATGATTTGCGAATGAAACATATATTTTTAAACAGTCTATAACATTTTCTCCTAGGGTAAATCCTTCTTCACTAGCAATCACACATGCTGCCACATTAGAGCTAACAACCATGTTGGCTAAATAATGTAGTTTCATCTTTGTTGGTGGTGCCTCTGGCATTCAGCTTTGTGTTTCTTTTTCAATTTTTTTTTTTTATACCAACAGACTAAATGACAATATATGATTACTGGTCTTTGTTTCTTTCCTCAACCCCTTTTTTACTTCCTTGTTTGATCTAGGTTTTCCACCTTTGTCTTTATTTTCTATTTTCTTAGGTGAAAGGGATGTGTTCTTACAAGTTCTCTTATAATGGCTATACACCTTCTGCACTTATTGGATTTATGCATTTTTCTTATATTAGAGGGGTGTGTTATTTCTTTTTCTTTGAGATAAAAGAGGGACTTAATTCATAAATAAAAAGGTTCCATCGTTCGTTTGGCTTCCCATCGGATAGCCCAAAATTACATTCTGGAGGGAATCATCCCTATCTAGTAAAACTACTTCCTTGTTCATAGCAGAAATACATACATCAAGAGGATAGTCTATATTACGTAACTGATTCAAAATAGTTAGATTTTTTCTTGCATCTTTAGCCAGGATGTCAGCTATTTCGTTTTTCCCTCTTTCTCCATAGTATAGCTTGACCTCAGGTAGATTCTACAACTGCTGCCTGCAATATTCAATTTTAGGGTTAGATCATAGGTAGAGTTATTGTCATTAATCTCTTCCACTAAGTATCTATTGTCGGATTCCATGATGCATTTGGTCCATCCTCTTGCTTGTATCCAACCAATAACTAGCCATATTCCCTGTAACTCTGCATCCTTTGTTGAAGCAGAGTAACCCTTCTATTGGAAACCACCTCTCCTTATGCCTTTTTCATCTATACAAATCCCTGCACAACTCGTTTCTTTGGTAAAACTTATGAAGGAGGCATCAATGTTTAACTTAAGGAAAGAGGTAAGGGGGAGGATCCCAAGCAGATTGATTGGGCTCTTTTCTAGTTTTTGGCTTATAGTTGAGTAAAACCATTCACTAGCAGCCTAAATGCACTAGGATGTGGACTTTTGTAAGCCGAAGTTTGTTTGAGAGAAAAGCCAAAGGTTCCTTCTTTTCCAAAGAGCAAAGCAGAATAAGATGTTCTATGGTAGGTTGTTGTGTGAGATGGTTTTTGTTTTCAGGTAATTTTGGATCCAAATTTGAAGGGGTTCATTTTTTTTCCTAATGCATGATAAAGGGGTACAGAGCTCTGACCAGAAGTCTTTTGCTCTTATATAGAAACATAAAATATGATTAGCATTTTCCTCTGAGGTTTGGTAGAAGATACATGCATAGGTAGGAGAAATATTTCTAGTGTAGAGGTTTGCAAAAGTTGGTAGTCTATCCCACATCAGCTGCCAAAGAAAGATTTTTATTTTTGGGATGGTATCTGCCTTCCACAAGCTGCTCCAATCCCAGTTCTGAATGTGATAGCATTTTGGGAGGCAATTTCTATTGGAAAGCAGCCAATTCTTTGCCTTCTTGCTATCAAATTTGCCCTTTTTTGTCCAATAAGTGAAGTTAAAGTCCTTGCTGTTAGTAAGGATGGTCTCATTAATTCTAGAGAAGAGGTTTTCATACAGCTGGAATTGAATCTGGTCTTCTAGTTCAAATTTTGAGTGAATTGAAAGAGAATTTAGGCTTTAAATATTACAGTGACGGTTTAGGGGTCCCACTAGCAGGCTTCTCATGGAATCAAATTGTAACCAACCATCATACCAAAAGTTTATAGTGTTTTCATCTCCTGGTTCCCATTGGAGGCTATTTTTGAATAAATTTCACCCTTTACCCACAACATTCCATATATGGGAGCCTTTAGTGAAAGGGGTCGGGTTATTTTTGTTTTGGATGTATTTCTCAAATAGGATTTTCCCAGCCCAGTTTGCTTTAGTGTCAATCATCCAACATAATCTAGCAAGCCCTAATTGGTTTAACTCATCATGGCTAACAAATCCCAGTCCCCCTTTCTCCTTTTCTTGGCAGACACTCTCCCAGGAAACCCAAGTGATTTTTTTCTTTTCTGGAGACCCTCTTCAAAGAAAATTTGAGCAAATGGAATCAAGTTTCCCAGTGATATACTTAGGGAGGCTCATACATGTCATTTGGTATTTAGGAATGGAGAACATGGTAGATTGTAGAAGTACAATTCTACCTCCCCTAGACAAAGTGTTTGTTTTCCAGAAGGCTAACTTTTTCCCAATTTTATCAATGAGAGCAGAGACTTGTCTCCTATTTGGCTTCTTGTCATTTAGGGGATATCCTAGGTAAGTGTCGTGGTCTTTAGATTGGATGACATTCAAGGTTTATTCAAAATCATCAATTATGTTAAGAGGAGTGTTTTTTGAAAAGAAAATTTGGTTTTTTTTCCTCATTTATTTTTTGGCTAGAAACTGAGCAGAAATTTTTCAAGGTGTCTTAAATGGAAATTACTAAATTAGGGTCTTATTGTCAGCAATCCCAAATAACAAACCATCATCTACAAAGAGGAGGTGTGATATGTCAGTTTTTCCTCCTCTGAATTTGAAAGGCTTCCATCTCTTGAGGTGGCATTGATCATGTATTTGTATGGATAGGTATTCAAGGCACATGATAAAGATGTAAAGGGATAGGGGTTCGCCTTATCTGATTCCCCTTGAGGGGAAGAGAGGCTTTGACAGCTTACCATTGATGAGAATTTGAGAAGAGACAGAAGAAATACAAGACATAATAAGAGATATGGTGTCCTCTAAAAAGTTGAAAGATTGAAAGCAATGCCTAATGAAAGACCATTCTATTCTATCATAGGCCTTTTCAAGGTCCAGTTTCAAAGCAAACAGGCCTCTTGACCCCCCTCTTTTTCTCATGGGGTGGAGTATTTCTGAGACAATTATATAATTGTCCTCAATTCCCCTTCCCTTAAGAAAACTGTTTTGATTTGGAGAGATTAAGGAGTGTAGGTGAGGTCTAATCCTATTTATAAGAATCTTAGAAATAATTTTGTAGGAAGTGTTGACCAAATTGATTGGTCTGAACCTAGTAATCTGGGAAGGGTTGTGAGTCTTTGGAACAAGCCATATTACTGTTTTATTGATTTCCTCAGGGATTTGTTTAGTAGTGAAGATATTTTTTACCAAGGAAAAGCAGTCACTTTGGATACAGTCCTAAGAGGACCGGTAGAATAAAGCATGGAATCCATCAGGTGCTTTCATAGGACCTATGGATAAAAGGGCTTCTCTAGTTTCAATGAGGGTTGGAATCATGGTGTTTTCAATATAGTGTTGAGAATGGACATAGTTTGGGTTGACCTGGTTAGAGGTGAACAAATTGTTGAAATGGTTGTAGATGTGACTATGGGTCTGGACAGGGTCATCTAACCATTCCCCCACACTATTTTTGATGGACATGATTCTATTTTTTTCCCCTAATGATTGCACATGAATGAAAGAATTTAGTGTTCTTGTCACCTTGAAGGATCTAATCTGTTCTTGCTCTAGCTTCCCAGAAGATCTCCTCCCGCTCTAAGACTTGATTGAGTTGTGTTTGGAGGTTTTTTTCTAGATAAAAAAGTTTGGTATTTGAGGGGTTTCTTTGGTAGTCTAGTTGGGCACCATTAATTCTAGCTGTCAGGGTTTTTTTTTAGTGTTAATGGAACAAAAGTGAGAGGTAGCCCAAGTCTTAAGATCTGAAGCAAGGAATTGAAGCTTCTGCTAGAAAGAGAGGTGTAGAAGGTCCATCTCTGCTAGACAAATGGCATGAGTTCAAGGTCTGAGAGCCACATTGGCTTAAATCTGAACGATTTCTTACCAGGAAAGTTAACTTTCTTAGTAAGGGAGAGAAGAAGGGGATAATGGTCAGAAGACATTCTTGGTAGATTTTGTACCACATTATGAGGGAATTTTGTAATCCAATCATTGTTGGCCTAAAATCTATCAAGTCTTTCAAAATTTGGGTTTTTTCTCTGTTTATTAAACCAAGTGAACTTGTGGCCAATGTATGCCAAGTCCAAGAGGTGACAGGCCTCCATGGTGTCTTTATAGGTTCTCATCTAGTGAAGAGGGTGAGCATTTCCCCCCACCCCCCATTTTTCATGATCGAAGCAAAGTTCATTAAAGTCACCACACACAACCATGGCATACTAATTAAATCACTCGGAATTTTTAAAGAATCCCACATTTCTAGTCTACCATGATACGAAGTTGATGCATAAATGGAAAATACGAAGAATTTCAAATTTGAGTTTACCTGGACAACGACATGGATATCACGGGGTTGTTTAGAAACAGTGATGATTTGTTGGAGCAAGAGTTCAACATGACTAGAATCCCTCCAAAAAAAACCCACAGGGTCCACCACCTCGAAGGAGTTGTATGGAATGGTAGAGATTAGAGATTCACAACTGAGTTTAGACACTTTGGTCTCAGTGAGGATGATTATGTCAAGTTCGTGGTATTTGATAAGCTGGCGGATGTTTCTCTTGAAACCATCCTGAGCTATTCCCCTAGCATTCCACAGAAGCACCGTCATTCCCGGAATCATTATTGGAAGTCTGGCCATTTCCTTCCTCGATGCGTAAGCCGCATAATTGTCCAGCTCCACATTTCTCCAAAAAGTTGTTGAACATGGACACCGTATTCTTTTGTATTTTGATTTCCGACATCTCGTCGTCTCCCCCTTTCACTTTTCCCCATCCTACGGATAGGTGTAGCTATTACGCCTCCCTTACGAGGTGCATCATTTTGACATTGTTTGTTCATAATAGGGATTCAAGCACCAGTCATTATTCTGTAATCGATAACACCTTACTTTCTTTCGGAAGCACGAGAACCGAGTCGATGAGAAATTGTAGTTCCCAAGGAACCACCATCAGTGAGTAGTCTTGTTGGAGGCGTTTGATCCACCATTTCAGAATTATCTCCAGAGCTCTGCTGATGTGCTTCACATCCAAGATCGATGGAATGTGAGCCGGAACCAGCTGTGTTGGGTTATCTGCCATAGCCAATCTGAAGGTGCACAAACAGAGAAGCAGCTTGTTCCGGATTCAGAAGAATGCTCCTCATGGTACCCGGTGTGATGGCGTGCCATTCTCCGAGGAGACCCTGAGCATAGAACGAAGTCAGGTTGAGCATCGACTCCGGGAAGGTGATCACCAGCTTTGTCTTTGTTATGAGGTTCCTCGCCAGTGATAGCGTCAGATTGATCACCGTGGGTATGAAAATTGGAGGCCTTAGAAAACCCCCTTGATCTTTGAGTTCGTCGGGGTCCTCGTTTATCAGCTTGTTGAGGTATTCGCTCAAAGTTAGCTTGCTCATGGTGGGAGAATTTCTGTGTGGTTATGGTTAGGATAGATAAATTGGAAGGTGTTTTCTGTGTATTTATTCGATTTTTTATTCTTGGAAATAGCCATGGTAAAGTTATGTATGGGGAAGGTGAAAGGGCTATGGATTTGACAAGAGGAAGATAGGCGGTGAGCTACAGGGATGAATTCAGAAGAGGAGGAGTTGAAGTGGGATTGAAGTGACAGTATGGGTATGGGTTGTAAGGAATTTGAAGTGGTTTTATTAATGGGGTCTTGACACGTCATTTTTCCACTATTCAAGTCATTAGATAAAATCCAAAAAGGATTTTCACTTACTGTTTTCGATTTGGGGGCCCACTTTTGAATCATTTTTTCGCGGAGAACTAGACTGCTCGGTAAAGACTCTGTTTTTCGTATTCACCCGTTGCCATTCACCATCTCAGCTAACTCTTTCCGAGTTCTGATCACCAGACCTAGCCATTTTTCGGCCATCTTCTCCGTGATGTTTGACTTCATCTTAACTACTTCTTTTATTTCTCGTAGATGATTTCCTATTTTAATTTTCCCAACCATAGCCATTGTTTCCTTGGTTGTGAAGTGTCAACGAGCACTAGCAATTTTGCAAACCTTAGGTTTCCTTGATCCTTGGATTTTGTGATAGCACAGATGAAAGTTCCAATGGTATTCCCAATTTTTTCCAAGAATCCCTCATTGAGAAACTCCATCGGTAATTCCGGTAATTCTTCCCAAACAGGGTGGATAGAATATTTCTCTTCTAATGGCTTGAACCCCGGCTTCCACCGCTGGATAGCTAAGAAGCTACCAATCATAAACCATGGGCCTTTGTTGAGGATTATTTCAACATATGCACGATCTTGGAACTTCGAAACGAAGAATCCTTTTCCAATTGGGAAGGGATATATTTTACCTAGCAGCTTCCAAATTTTTTGAAGGCCTTGGACATAGTAGTCTGTGGAGAAGGTCTAAGCGGTTGCCTTAGAGATAATAGCATTTTTCCGGGGTGAACATAATTCAGAGTATTCCTCATCTGAAATTGCAATGAAGAAACCCACTGTTTCGTTAAAAGAAGGTGGTGTGCTCTTTCTTACCAGGCTCCTTTCTTCTCTTTTTTAGGATGGCCTTCCGGTAACTTTCTAATAGCAGGCAGGGCTGGTTTAGGGTAGAGATTTTTCTCGTAATGTTTGGCCTCTAACTTGCGTAGGATTTATGACAACACCGCAAACCAACATATAGATTGTCTTTAGGGTAAGGCTAATGTAAATTTAACCTTTTTTTCCACAATGCAAGTTAATGCATAAGAGCAACAATTTCCTGTCTAATCCTATTTCAAACGTCCACAAGTCCTCTGCTCTAAATCAATAACCAAATGCATCATCCTTGTATTTAACATCGTGTTGTTATCACCAAGCCGAACAACAAAAGTCTAGCTTTCACACTTGTAGTGATTAGTGTGGTCACCTATAATGGTATAATACTTAAAAAGTTTGTAGGAAATGATATCAGACTTGATTCTTAAAAAGGTACAAATATGATACCAAACTTGGCTCTGAAAAAGGTGCAAAAAACAATATAATCTTCCTCTTCAATGGTAAAATCATGAATAGTATGTACTATGTATAAGCATATCTAAAATGACACTGTTACATGAGCATGAAGCAGGGGAAAATTTAGCCAAAAGAGGAGCTTGATCTCCGAGAATCCCAATCTTGACATCTACCTAACAGAAATATGTACAAGATTTAAATATTTATGTTTGACTACTTTTATTTTTTGGCCAAAATAAATGTGGAAGTGCGTTACTGAATGAAACTAGTAAATGAACTATTGTGTTGCTCCTGCCTTTAGTTTAATGTGACTGACCTGCAGATTGGAAATGAGACCATTATTCCATCACAAGCTCTATCTCTTGCACTTCATATTCTTTTTTCTTTAATTTTACAAAAGCTCCATCTAATTAATTCTCATCATACATATTTTCTATTCTTTCTTCATTTTCACATAAATCAATTTGATTTCATTTTTACAGACTTTGTTCTGCTGTAATGACGAGTTCAGTTTATACTGTTTGGGAGAGAAATCCAACTAGGCAGTATGAAAGGTATAAGTTTATGCTTTGTCGAGGCCAAAATAAAGAAGTGTATTTGGGATATGATATAATTAATGACAAGAAAATTGCTTGGAGTAAGACATTAAACTTTGTTCATGATCTGGATTCTTTAAGTAGAGCAGCTGAGTTTTTGAAGACTGTAGACAGTTTAGGTCAAAATTTGACTGCCGTATAAGACCAGGTTCAATTGGACAACAGCTAGACTAATAGATATGCAAATGATGATGCAGGTTCAAGGAATGAGGATGAATGATCTAAAAGAAATGAACAAAGGGGAAAGGGAGAAGAAGAGACGAAATGATACGCAGAAAACCCAGGAATAAGGGTAAAAACTGCGGATGGCTATGAGTCCACCAATCCACTAGGTTGAGAATTGAATACAAGTACAATATAGGTTTAGAATAAATTTGTAACGTAGCTAATGATTGCTAATTGCTATGGAATGTAAAGCTAAGAGATTGTTTGTTCCCCGTTTACAAGTATTTTTCCTATATTTATTGTAGAAAATCCTCTTGAAGCTCCCTTCCGGAATCCGGGGCTAGTTGTCAGATTCTGTTTGAGATTTATGCCACATTCTCCATGCTTTATCCATTGTAGTTTGACTTGTTCCTTCTAGCTTACTAGCTTCGATTCTATTGGCACTCCTTTTGACTTATTCAAACTTGGATCTTCTTAGAATATTCCTTGGGGAGACCATAATTTAGCTTTCTTTGACTTCTGGAAACTAGGTCATTGACTTCGTGACAACCTGTAACCTGCAACCTGCAGATATATGAACTTGTAGCAATAATTTAGGCACAACACAGACCATGTACAGAATTCTATTGTAGTGACGTTCTTCACCTTCAAAGTCCTAAGATCTATCATTGGAAGATTGCTTGTGAAAGTATCGTACTTACTGGAGTTAAAATTAGAGTTGAGGACAATAATAAAAGTAGCAGATTTAGATACTGCAGAGATACTAAAGCTGGAAAGTAATGAACATACTGCACTGAAAGCAGAAATTTATTCCTTTGGGGTCTGTTTCAGTGGCGAATTTAGCATTTTATATAAGTGGGTTCAAATTAAACTAAATTAAATAAATTATATTATAATTATTTATAAATTAACAAATTACGTGAAACTACGTGTGTACTATATTGGAAATTATTGACACATATAATTATTGGTATTGATAGATTAATCATAATTTTATATCACTTTTCTCATATTAAAGAGCTAACACTTAAGCAGTTCATTAGAAAATGCTTCCTTCCAGAACATAATTTTGTGCTTGATTTTTTAAAATTTCCATTTTTTGCACCAATTGATACGAAGCAGAGTATTGATACGAATCAAATTTTTTGATTTGGGTATAAGTCTGTCTGGTATTGGTACTAAATTGACAACAATATGTGAGAACTTTACAATGAGTGCTAGATTGAAATCCAAGACAATTGTAATCTTTACTTTGAGGATCAGAAGATCAGAGTTTCGATTTGAGTATGAATTCCACTTTCCGTCGATGGGTGCAGTTCATCGTAATGCCTTCGTTGCTCGCAAATTTTTACAAGAGAACTCAGAGAAATTCGGACTTTTATCAGACAACGATGTGATGTTGATTTCTTTTGATATTGTTACACCATCTTAGTAAGGCTATTCATGCGCATGACTATTCTTCTTCTTGCCTGGAAGGTCATTGGCAAGGGATCTCTGATGTGCGCTGAGTTTGCTATTTACTCTCATCTTCCTATTTATATAATTTTATATATATTTTCTGTATATATCTCTTTCCTTATAGAAGTGTGGAGCCCCTGCCAATTGTAGCAAAATAATAATAATAATAATAATAATAATAATAATAATAATAATAATAAAGAATAGCTTCAGTTATTTTGGAAATTATATTATGCCATTGATTATGCCACGGATTATGGAATTGAAATCAATCTTTTATTCTGTATATATCATTGATAGCACAAACTTTCATATGTGGCTGGCCACACCGTGTGGCTAGCCACATATATTTTTTTTCCCACTATTCCCTCACTTTCTCTCTCCTACCTTTCAACAATGGCAGAAAAACCTCCATTCTTTTCTTCATCTTCCTCAAGAGAGAGACCAATCTACACTTCCCCAATCATCATCATCATCATCATCATTTTCTCACTCCTCACTTTGTTCTCCTCTGCAACTCCTTCTCTCTCCTCCAAATCCTCCTTTTCAATTCCAAACCCTAACTTAAATTGTTGCAATTAGAGCCGTTGCGGTGGTGCGAAGGTGGAGTGGTGGTTGATGGTGGTTTGTTGCGACGGTGCGGTGGTGTTGTGGCGAAGATGTAGTGGTGGTTAGAGATGGCAATGGATCAGGTGGAGCTTCACCCGCATCCATCCATTATTCCAATCACTCCATCCACATCCATCCGTCACCCACTTTACCTATCATCCATATCCGTCCGTCCATCATCCGCGGATGAAATGGGTGGAGCGGATGACTAATGGATGAGTATTTAAAGTGAAAAAAAATCCACATAATTCTAATTTCGGTGATTTATTCAATAGTTTTTTATTTTATTAATATAAAAGGAAACAATAACAACATATTGTTTGAAAAAATCAATTTGCAAGAAAAATATAAGTAATTTTCTTAAACAATTCATATTTCATTATTAAACTCTTAGATAAAAAATTTAATATATATGTTAAACGGGTGGGTGGATGGCTAGCGGGTGAAGTAGAGTATCATCCACATCCGATCCGATCCGATCCATCATCCGCTCCATCCGTCCCCGCTTCTCATCCATTTATTTTGGATTTTCGTCCATTTATTTAAAGCGGGTGGACTGGGTAAGCGGATATTCATATAATATTGCCATCCCTAGTGGTGGTTGATGGTGTTGCGGCGGTTCGGTGGTGTTGTTCACACTAAAATGGCCAAAGAACCAGTTCGCGTCCTCGTTTAGTTTTCCCAATCTATTTTGATTCGTCTTTGATTTTTTTTTTATTGCGATTGATCTAAGGTTTGTTAATTTGTTTCAGTTTTTTGTTAGATGTTTGTTGATTTGATTAATGTATTAATCTACATGTGAGATCTAACTATTTGTTTAGTTTTGTTTGATTATTCAGTTTTTTTAGCTTATTTTTGTGTTTAGGTGCATTTTTTTGAATTAGATTAGCTGATTTTGAGGTTGAAATGTTGGTTTATAGCTTATTAATGAATCAGTTATGACCTAAAAATTAATTGAATAGGAGATCGTAGTGGTAAGATTTAATTTGATTTGACTTGATTGGATATTGTTGAGGCAGTGATGACAAAAACATTTCTCGATGCTTCGGTTGAGACTAATTGCGAGTATACATTTTTGTGTATACTAATTGACTTAGGGGTTACTAGGTCAGGGGCTACTAGGTCGGTTAGGGGTTACTAGGTTTGTCAGGGGTTACTTGATCAGCGATTACTAGGTCAGTCAGGGGTTACTTAGCCATGGGTTACTTGTGTGTTAGCAAACCACACCGTGTGGCCAGTCACACACTAAACCTGCTGCATTGATAGAATATTCTCCTAATTTCTTGTAATTGATTTCTTGTCTCATATTACTCTTTAGCACAAATACCTAACAAAAATAATAATAATAACAAACAAAAACCAAAATTCTATGAAGCATGAAATGACTACACACATATCACAATCTGTAACCCTACATGTCAAAATAAAGTATGTAACACATTTTAAAAACTTTAAAATATTATTTTCTAAGGCCTGATTATAATTCAACTCTAAAATCTCATTAATGATTTATCCACGTTGTTGAATAGATATATATCAATGAAACAAGGAAACAAAGCATTTCCAATATTATCAAACCAATAGCATTATGTAAACATAATTTACAATGCTATCGGAATATTATGAATATTAGAATTCATTTGGAATCTTAAAATTAACTTTGAATATTAAATTATCAAATTAATCAAATTATCAAATTAATCAAATTATCAAACCAATATAATTCATTGTTTTATACGAAAAAAATTTCGCTTCTCTTCTTTTGCCTCCCTTTCCCTTAACCTAAAACTCCCCTTCTTTGAACATATCACCTTCTTCCTTTAAATTGGGACTACAATTGTAGTCTTTAGAATTAAGAGTATTGTAAAATACTAATTTTATCATTGTCTTTTACTCCCTTTGTAAGGGCGGGTTCATGAGAATCGATCCTAAGATCTCTTGGAACAGGGAGGGGAGCTCTAACCACTTAGAGCTATCCCTCACTCTCAACGCATACTAATTGTTAATAACAAAAAATATAGTTTTGGCCGAAAACAAATGGAAAAATCTAGCAAAGGCTAACCCTGATTTAATATTAGTAAGATTTAGGCATTGCATTACTTTAGTCATTGCAAATGTACAGTTGCAATACATTTGGTAATATTAACCTTTAAAAAGGTACATTTCTATATTAAACTTGCTCAAGTACCCAAATACATTCTCTTATGAGAATCCATTCATAAAACATTTCTTAGCAGATGTATCTTCATAAAAATCTCTAACTATAATATGTAGGGATGGCAATTCAATCCGAGTTCAATCCGATCCGAAAGAAAAAAAATCTAATCCGAATCTGTTTAAAATTAGTCCAAATCCGAATCCGATAAAAAAAATCTGAATCTGAATTCGAGGAGGATCGGACTTAGACCCTACGCAAAGTCCGACCGAGTCCGACCCGAGTCCGGGAGTATGAGCACATGCTTTATAACTTTTGACAATTGCTTGCTTGTTTTGCAGCAAAATTTTGTATTTTAAATACATTAAAAGAAAATATATATAAATATATATATATATATATATATATATATATATATATATATATATATATATATATATATATAAATGGGATCATGTGAGAACCCATGGCTTAGGTGAGAACCATTTTAAAATGAGAACTCATCTAACACCATTCATTTTTATTAGATGAATGGTTCAGATTTATTATTTCATTAGTGGGAATTCACGTGGGCCACCTTCATTAATTGTAATGATTGTTTGTATTTTTTTTTAATTTTTGTGCATTGGGACACAAAATCTGTCAAAAGCTGTCATTATTACATGCTTTTTATTATTTATTGCATTGAAACACGTTAATTTGCATTGGAAAACCAATAGATTATTCAGTAAAATGCAAGGTTCACATAAATTCGAACGTTACGTTAAAATGTAGTTGAAGTGTACGTCATTAATGATGTTTCGTAAAATATATCAAGTGTTTCAATTTATAATATTAATGTTTCATATATATTATTGCTTGTTTCATATAGTTGAGCTCTATATGAACTACGTGTACTGTGATTTCTTATAACTTATCTGATGTTTCAAAAAATATATCTTATGTTTCATTTTATAGTGCTTATGTTCCATAAAATATATGTGTTGTTTCATATACTAATGATATTGTTTTTTGTATTGGGATACAAAATCTGTCAAAAGCTGTCATTATTACATGCTTTTTATTATTTATTGCATTGAAACATGTTAACTTGCATTGGAAAACCAAGAGATTGTTCAGTAAAATGCAAGGTTCACATAAATTCGAACGTTACGTTAAAATGTAGATGAAGTATACGTCGTTAATGATGT